ATACGTTGTGGAGGTTACAACAATGCTAAGCGGAGGTGGCTGCGATGTCGGGAACCATGCGCAAGAACGAATTTTATGTCTTTGTCACTTTCGCGCCAATTTTCCCTCAAGGTGGTTTTTCGCGTGCCCCGCCGCGGCCGCGCGGCCTAGGCCGGGGACCCACCGTGCACGGACACCGTAGGGTAGGTACTTGAAGTTTGTCATGTCGCCGGTACCGCGCGGCATTACGTTACGGTGGGCGTAACGCTTAAGTGAAAACCAGTACTTTCGCTGCAGCGGTGCACATATTCAGCGAATGGTGACCGGGTTTGCGCGAGAACGTAGCAAATATTCAGTGTTATGGATGGCCCAACGCTTATCTATAACATTTACCGGCATCATAGGCAAAAGTAAAAAAAAAACGTTTTGCGGCAATTCCGCCTGTCAACTAGGCAACGTGCCGTCTGCATGTGTGTACAGATGTTGCCTAGGCCGCGCGGCCGCGGCGGTGCACGCGAAAAACCACCGTGAGGGAAAATTGGCGCGAAAGTGACAAAGACATAAAATCCGTTCTTGCGCATGGTTCCCGACATCGCAGCCACCTCCGCTTAGCATTGTTGTAACCTCCACGACGTATACTTTCATTTTACCTGCGTTCTGGACAGATCGGTGTTCTCGACACCGAAAATGGAACGACCTACCGGAGGTCCGTCTCTTTGTGTACATTTTTGCACTACCCGACTCGGGTGTCAGCGCCGCAGGCCTTGGTAGATGTATGCCAGGCGCGTTGCAGCGCAACAGTATTTCGTGAGATATCGCGAATCCTGTTACGCGAGACGTGGTCTGGCGTACATCTACCTTGTTTACGGTTTACTTGTTGGCTGAGCGATTAGCGAAGCCTATTACTCCGTCAGGTCGGAAAAAAACTTTTTCTGTCTGTCCGTCTGTCTGTCTGTGTGTCTGTCTGTGTGTCTGTGTGTGTGTCTGTCCGCACGATAACTCGAGAACGAATTGAGCGAGCGACTTGGGATTTTCAGGGTCGCTTTGTGTAATACTAGCTATATGTACGCCAGACCACGTCTCGCGTAACAGGCTTCGCGATATCTCACGAAACACTGTTACGCTGCGACGCGCCTGGCGCACACATAGCTAGGCCTGC